GGTTTTTATTTTGTAATATCTTCGCTATAAACTATGTGTTTTTCATGTTAAACATGTAAATTTAAATTTTAAAATTTTTAACCAATAACCAAAGTGAGATTAAGAAATAAAAAAGGGTTTAAATGAGGATTAAAACATCGAGTTATGCACACTTTCCCTCTCTTTTCTCAAGCCTTCAAGGACTAAAAAAGTTTAAATTTCAAACTCTAAGTCGACTTTATATATTAGATTAATATGTTAAAAATAAAAATCTAGTGATTAATTTGTTAAAATGCATCAAGATATTAAATGAAATAAATTGTTAAAATGGAAACTCAATCAAAGGCATGAAGTTCTTTTGTTTCCAAACAAGAAGGCAACATTTGGGTTTTTAATCTTTAATGTTCTAACTATAAATCGTTTGGGTTTTCATGTTCAACATTTATATTTAAATCTAAAAATTTATAATAAAAAGTGACAATAAAATTAAGGTTTGAGAAATTAGAGAAAAAAAAAGTTTTGATTAAGATCAAAGCATCAGGTTCTATGTGCTTTCCCTCTCTTTTCTAAAGCTCTGAATGACTAAAGAAGTTTTGAAACTGTAATTGGGCTTTATATATTATATATTAAGTAAACAAAATAAATTTAACTACATATTAAAAAAAATCGAATGATTAATTTGTTAAAATTGCTCATAAAAGAAAATTGTTAAAATGGGAAAATCAATAAAGGGCATAAAGTTCTTTTGTTTTCAAGCAAGGACTTAACCTATGGATTTTTATTTTTTAATGTCGTAATGATAAACCATTTGGGTTTTCATGTTAAATATTTAGATTTGAATCTAAAAATGAGATCTTATTTTATTTTTTTAAATATTTAAAAATTAAATGTAAAAAAGTATTTGCCACATTTAGTGGATTATTTAGTGTTAATTGTTTGAGTGTCATTTTTTATTTTATTTTTACAAATGGGTTTCACGTAGCCAATCATTGGCCAAATATTGGTGCATTTAGCACTCCTCTCAAATATATATATATATATATATATATAAAACTATTCATAGAATATAAAATGGTGTTCCACCAAAAATAAAAAAGAATATAAAATGGTAAATAAAAACATAGGCCAAATATTGGTGCATTTAGCACTCCTCTCAAATATATATATATATATATATATATAAAACTATTCATTTAGACAAAAAAGAGATAATAAAAAAATAAAAATAAAATGATTTTGGCACTATCTCATTTTAAAGTAATTCCTCATAGTCCCATGTTTTTTCTTTTTAATTTCCTTTTTGATTTTCTCATAATGCTGTGTTTGTGTTTTTCTTTTACCACATAAATGATCAACGTGACTCTCACAATGCCTCCTTCCTTTCCCTTCCCAAAGCATCCTTGATTCTCACTTCTCCTCTTAAGTAACCCCAAAAATAGAAACTCGAACCATTCAAGTGTTAACAATAATCCCCAAAATAGTCAGATCCGACTTTGCCCAACTCCAAAAAAAAGTGAAGCGACCCAACCCAACCGTGCCCAACCCATTTGCCCAAAAACTCTTCTCCAGAAAAATCTCAAAACTTACAATAAGCCCAGAAATATTCAGCTTCTAACTCAGACTGTTATTGGGCTAAACCCAACTCTAAAAATTAGGAAAGTAACTTAACC